CACACACACACACACACACACACACACACACACACACACACACACACAGAGTTATAGACAAAATCCTCAGTTTGAATTCACATCGTCCATTCTTTTCTTCTACTCTCTACAGTCACAGTCACCACACTGATTTCATGCATTGTTCTCTGTGACATTTGAGCCGTTTCCTTGGAGACTTTTTTTTTGACTGCCACCTAAGAGGAACATTTAGAAATGTGCTTCCCGGGAGGTCCTTTATTGGTGTCTGTGAATGCTTTGTGTGTTTTATTGACTGTATGTTGGTGTGTGTGTGTGTGTGTGTGCGCCTGCATGTGTGTGTATGCGTGCTGGTATCTATTAATGGATGCTGTGCCTCGTTTTAATGAGGCTGCCTGGATGGCCCAGAGGATGCTCGTTCAGTGACAGCAGCACTCTGCCGAAGAGACTATTTACATAATACTGTGTGCACACAGGCATGTCTGTGTGACTGAGGCAGAATAAAAGAAAGGCAGTAAGAAAGAGGGAATGTTGTGTTTGAGGCATCATTGTGCACAGTCTCTTTCTCACAAAAAAAAAAGAAGCGCCCCCTTATTGTTATTCCACATTTTTGTACATGCCATCCCTCTCCCTATTTCTTTTTCATACACACTTCCTGTTGGCGTGTCTCATGGCACTCGTTTCCCCGAATTCTTATTCAGAGAAGCACCTTGACCAGCTCACAATCTTTTGTTCTGGCTTTCTCAGCGGGACAGAGGCATCACAAGGTTACTTAATTTTCAGCCAAGTCGCATCCTAAAAAAACACTCTTTGAAAGCAAAATCTTTAATTAGAAATGTCTTGTCTAGTTTTACTCTGAAAAAAATAGCTCCCTGTTACTTTGGAGTCATGCTTTTCCACAAAAAAATCAGTTTTTTGCCATTTATTCATTGTATTTGTACTACAGAAATTATTTATAAGATGTGCTGTATTTATATCAAAGAAGCAACGAGTCCCTGTCACTTATAAAATAAGCTGCTCTTTCTTTCTTCTAAACTTGTAGTAATTAAAAATCATGCTAAAACAATGCAACACATGCTTCACAGTCCGGCTTTAGTTTGTTCTTTCTAGGCTTCTGTAAAAACATAATGGTGCAACATTACAGCTTTTGAAAAAGATGACCCACAGGTTATAAATGCACATAGTTTCAATTCTTTTTTCTTTCTTTTTTTTTTTTTACTTGTATAGCATTCATTTAAACAAGGGTCTGGCAATCCTTTAAGGAATGCATCTCGTCTGCCACTTTTGTGCTAGAGCTTTAAACAAGATCATCTTATATTGGAGCCATTCTCTCATGTTTGAGGGTTGTCACATTCAAATACACAAAGAATGATTCATAAAAATTTTGATGCATAAGTTTTAGCTCAGTATCTGTAGGACTGACTGAGTAAGGTAAGTTGGATATTGTGGCCATCTTAAATTGGGTTGTGTCTGACATTAAGCCATACAGTATATTTTGCACACTTATAATATGTGTTGGGGATTAAATAATCCAAATGTATCATCTATATGGGCACCAAATTATTTAATCTGATCATCACAAGTGTTTACATGCACCAGGTTTTTATTCAGAATAGACGCACTGACATGCACAGAGTTGTAAATGTTTTGTAAGAACACAGAAGTAGTTAAACTTCCATGATGAACTTAAACAAACGCACCATGTTTCTACACTTTCAACCTTAAAGGGTAACCAACCAATTTTGCTTCCCTGACATGTATTATCATTTAGACAGGTAGAAATACATCAGGTTGACATAGAGCACACGTGCAGTCAGGTTAGATTTCCATAACCAGAATACCATGATCAGAATAAGTGTTTACATGCACAGCATTCAGATTATCAATCAGCATAAACCAGCCCTCTCATTCAGATTACAAATTCATTCCGATTGAGCTGAAGTGGATTACAATATTCTGACAGGGTTGTTAACATGATGCATTTTTATCCCAATTGTTTATTTCAATTACTTATGTCCATGTAAACATAGCTAATGAGAGCATTTACATTAAATCTGTAGGGCAGTGACATGCTCGTAACTAATCTCTAAAATTGGACTTGGTTATACAGCAGCTGTGAAGTCAGTCAGATTACACCGCAGCAACAGCAAAATGAACGAGCACATCATTTGTATTTTCCAAATAATTCACCAAAGACAAACTACATTTAGTCAAAATCCTAGCTATTTTAATAAATATATAAATAAATAAATTCATGGTTTATGGCAATGCATACACGCATAATACAAACAAAACATGAGACTTTTATTCTGAAAATATATTTTTTCCACAAAGTCCAACAGTTATGCTGTTTCTACTGTTATTTCAAGTCTGTCTTCCACAGAATGAATAGTTTTGGTCTGACTTCAGTGTTTATCACTGGCTTTACTGCTCAATCTTGCATTTCCTGGGCATGCTTCTCAAAGCACCCCTGGGCTTTGTGGAGGAACAGAAACAGTGCAAATCCA